CCTATGATGCTGCTTGGCCTGCTGTGTTCATCCAGCCCTGCACCTTGTTGTCTCCAGACCTGAAACGTCAGCTTTCCTGCTGCTCTGATGCTGCCTGACCTGCTGTGTTCATCCAGCTCTACACCTTATTATATCAATCTATTCTAATCCCATTTGCCCTGCAGTCTTTCATGTGTTCATCTAAATACTTCCCTTTTAGGTAGTGATTTCCAGATACCCACCACTCTCTGGATTGAAATTTTTCCTCAAATCCCCTCTAAACCTCTTGCTCCCTGCCTGAAAACTGTGCCCCTGCTTATTGACCGTTGTAATAAGAGGAAACATTTATATCTACTTTGCCTATGCCCCTCAGAAGTTTGTGTACCGCAATCAGATCCCCACTCAGCTTTCTCTGCTCTGAGGGAAACATCCCAGCCTATCTAGTGTCTTTTCATTGCTGAATTGCCCCAGCCCAGATAACATCCTGGCAAATCTCTTCAGCATCCTCTCTAGTGCAATCATACCCTTCCCATAGTGTAGTGACAAGAACTGCACACAATACTTTAGCTATTCCCTTTCATGTTCTTTTTGTGTTACATCTCCCGCATCCCCAATGATCTTTCAGCTTCCCTCTGTTTCTGTTCTCTTTTTATATTGCAGTTAATGTTCACTATTTATCACATGAGCAAATAGTTTTGAGAATCGTTGGCCATACATCTTTTCATATTGAGGCTAGGGTGATTGTGGATTTTGCTGATGCCCTGTCCTGCAGCTCTTCTGCCCTGTCCTATGCTCTATAAGGTCCCGTCTTTCTACTTGTGTGTGAGAAGGATGGTAGAGGACTGTGACTATGAAGCAAGTGGGGAAATGATGAAGGTAGAGCTGGCTGTAAGTCCAGAGAAGCATGTATCGACATGTGGCACCAGGTAATCACTCTGAATTTGATGTCAAGAATTGTTGCCTTCTGGTTTCTCAGGGGAAGGAGAGGAGAATTAGGACCTGCATAGAAATAAAGTGAGATTAGCTGTCAATGAGATACAAACGTATGGATTAATAAAGTCTACTAACTCATTAGATAAATTCAGAACTTGCCGTTTAAACCTTAAGGGAAGAATCAGACATTTTCTTGACATCACAAATCTATTCTCACCATATTTTCCCAACTTTAGTGCCATTACGCATGCTGCTCAAGGTGTGGGAAATTCCTGCCCATAGTTTATCACATGCAACAACTGGTTATATATTACATTGACAGATATTGTTATTAGAGACTTTGAGGTGGACCAGATGTTAGGTCTTGGTCCTTCAAGATCCTAAGCTGTCTGCTCAGGAATTTATATTACATTAACCTTTCAGACCCATACACAACATTTGTGATAATGGTTCATTACATAAAATAGTATGTGCTTACAGAACCATGTTTCCATTTAGTGCATCTCGGGGAGGTGGATGATGTCAAAGACCTATCATATCTGTTGAATGCAATCCAAGTGGGTTTTACCCCCAGATCACAGTAACATGTGAAGAGCAGCTACCTTTTGATTGCCTGCAGAATTGTGCAGTTGACCCACTTCACCCAAATTTTCCTGATTCTACCTAAATGGGAATCAGGCAAATGGATTACTGGTTATAATTCACTGTACAATTCTAATCTCACCAGATAATTTTTAACTGCAGTTTTCAGGCTCAGATGAGTAGCACAATATCACTGTAATCTAAATTTTTTTATATGAGCCCTTCAGTCTAATCAATCAAGTACCTTCATTGTGCAAAAATGATTGAACTGGATCTACTGCTTGCTGTGTTTTGTTTTTTAAGAGCTGCAAATGTTTTGATCGCTCTCCAGGATACTGCCTCGACTGCACTTTTAGTTATTGAATACTCTTTAACTTAGTATCCATTTATTTAATTATACTACCATGGGGCACTTCATTAACATATTGCTCTCTTGAAAGTTTTTACTGCATTTAAATTCCAATTACTTCTCAAATTGTATGTTACTCCAAATACAGCTATTTAATTTATTTCAATCTTGAAATATAATAAAGGCCACCTTGTCTTTTACAATGTGAGGAATTGTGGCAAATCAAAAACTGCCAACCCTCACCTGCTCAAGTCACAATGTAAATTTGTCACACCATTACACCACCCCACCAGTGCCAGTGCTTCAGTACCACTACTGGTGACAGGGTGTAATTACAGTTTCACAGATTGTTACAGTCAGTTCCTATTAAAATTGTGGAAATAGGAATTTAGGAAAGAAATATATAAAGCTGGGGACTAAATCAAAACCACGTGCCCCAGTTCAATCGTCCATAACTATTCATTTGAAGATTTCATTTTGTCTTAGCTTCCTCTGTGCAAAGTCACAGGAGATTGATTAGTAATGTAAGAAATACCAAGAATATTTTGTCTTAACTTACAAGGTATTCAATAAATGCTTAGCCAATGGAAATGATGAGCAGTGTAAACGTTAATTGCATGTTGCACTAATTAATATTGATGAGATAAGCTCCACCATCCAATGAAAACAGGGCAATCATACCACATGAATTCGGGGTATTATGACATTCCTGTATGATATTAGTTCATCATTTTCAAAAAGTTACTTATCTTAAAGTTGTACGAAGAATGACAGACGATGACTAAATGGTAGCGATAAGGGGGGAAGCAGGTAGGTTGTCATTTTCAAATCTCTTTCATCTTTTATTTCTGTTAACTCTGATAAAGCTATTCACATGGTAAGTTCATAAACCTTCATTTGGACTTGATGCCCATTTGACTGGAGTGACAGAAAGTTTGGCAGTACCTGCATGTTGGGGATGGATCCTGAGATAGGTTCGGAAGGATAGGAGCGGTGTTCAAGGTGTGGGAGAGCAGAAGACAACAGTAAGGAGACAGAAAATAATACTTCGCATTAAAAGAATGAGTCACAGAAGAAGAATGCAGTCATACAAAACTCTGGAATGTCCAAACGTATTTTCAAGATACTAAGTAATTAAAATCGAGGAATACTTTCTCTGGATAAGCATATTAATGCGTCGTTGTAAGGTTAACGGATTGTGAAGCCGCGCTTGCGTACCATCAGCAACCAGCTTGGAACTCGGGAAGTTGGTGACGCTGTAGGTGCGTGGCGCGGTGGTTGGAGCATGCGTGGTCCGTTATTAGGCGGCTGGAGGGACGCGGCCTGTGAAGGTAAGGGGTTGGCTGTATAGTTGAGTTCTGAGTGAAGGGTATTGTGATGTAAGGGTGTTGTTTATGTCCCCACTCAACATTGTGTCCTTCGGTTTCTTTGACCGAAAGGTCGAATAAATGTGTTATGTAATTTAGGCCTCGTGATGAAACAATACGTTAGATGAAACCAAACAATTGTCTGGAAAGCCAATAATACAGTAATCAGGCGGTGAAAAATGTTGTATGTAACTAACTTCATGCTCTTTCTAGCGCTTTATTAACCCCACAGCTTATGTTATCGAAAGTTAAGGTGAGGAATGATTTATCTGCTGTGAAAAAGTTGCGCTAATTATAAGCCTTGCCGTTACTAATGTAAAACGAGTTAGTGCTTTGAGTCGGCAGTGCCGAAGAACACGGGCAAATACAACCATCCCCAAACTAGTCCCCGGAACTTTTCATTGATTCTGTCCACCTTGTTTAATGTTCTGTCACAAGTTCATAGCGAAAATGAAACCTTGAGACATTGGTTGAATGTATACTCAGTAAACTACTATTTTGGATTTCGGTTTCAGAAGGCGTGCTTCAGAGCTTGCCGCGCCCCTAGCCATGCTGTACTAGTAGGACTACAATCACGGCGTTTACCCCAAGTGTGGAAATGTGCTGAGTATGTCCTACGCACAAATCCGGACAAATCCAATCCAATCCAATCTGATCGAGTACCCCACATCAGTCTACTCTCGATCATCAGTAAATGATGGAAAGGGTTGTGAACAGTGCTATCAAGCAGCAGTTACAGTCATAGTCAAGGAGATGTACAGTATCGAAACAGACCCTTCGGTCCAACTCGTCCATGCCGACCAGATATCCTAGATAAATCTAATCACATTTGCCAGAATTTGGCCCATATCACACTAAACCCTTTCTGTTCATATACCCATTCAGATGCCTTTAAAATGTTATAATTGTACCAGCCTCCACCACTTCCTCTGGGAGCTCATTCCATATATGCACTACCCTCTGCTTGATTTCCCTCTTAAGTATACTCCTGCTGCCTTTGTACTCTTATAAGGATTCACTCGGTCCCTGCTGTCTATACCTGACATATGCTTGCTTCTTTCTCTTGACCAAAACCTTGATTTCTCTAGTCATCTAGCATTCCATACACCTGCCAGCCTTGTCCTTCACCCCAACCGGAGCATACTGTCCCTGGACTCTGGATATCTCATCTTTGAAGGCTTCCAATTTTCCAGCTGTCCCTGCCCCCAATCAACTTTTGAAAGTTTTTGCCTAATACTGTTAAATTGGCCTTTGTCCAATTAAGAACTTTAACTTTTAGATCCAGTCTATCCTTTTCCATCACTATTTAAAAACTAGTAGAGTTACGGTTGCTGGCTCCAAAGTGCTCCCCCACTGACACGTCAGTCACCTACCCTGCCTTATTTCCCAAGAGTAGGTCAAGGTTTGCACCTTCTTTAGTAGGTACATCCACTTGCTCAGCAATAACCTGCTCACTTACATTCACTTGATTGTGGTTGTGGGAGGTCAATGATCTTAGCCCCAGGACATCCCAGCAAGAGTTTGAAGCCCAACCATTTTAAACTGCTTCACCAATAAACTTTCTTTGATTGTATTGCCAGAAATACAGATGTTTGCCAATGACTGCATAATGTTCAGCACTGTTTTCAAATCCTCATACTGAAGCAGTTCATGTTCAAATGCAGCAAGACCTGGATAAAACCCAGGTTGACATTTGTGGCAGACAATGTCCACCTGCAACAAGAGAGAATCTAGCCATCATTCCTTGACATTCAAAGTCATTACTGTCACTGAATTCCCCTGCTGTCAACATCCTTATGGTTGCCATTGACCAGAAATTTAATGGACTAGCCATATGAATACTGTAGTTCCGATAGCATGTCAGAGGCTAGGAAATCCTGCAGTTAGTAATTCAGCTCCTGATTTGCTAATGCCTGTCCACCATGTACATGCCAAAGAAAGGCTTGTGATGGAGTATTCCCCACTTGCCTGTATGAGTACATCTCCAAGAATACTCTAGGCTTGACACCATCCAGGACAAAGCCACCAGCCTGGCTGGCACCAAATCCACAGATATGCACTCCCTTTATCATCAATGCATAGTGGCAGCAGTCTGTGCCATCTACAAGATTCACTGCAGAAATTCATCAAGACTCCTTGGAATTTGAGATAACTTTGTCACTTTCCTATATTATCATGTGCAAAGACCTCCATGTTGGCCAAGACTGTAGACATACAAAGAAGCAGAAAAAAGCCATTTGGTCCTGTGATCTGGCATGCTATGCTATTCAGTAAGACCATGGCTGATCTATTTGTGTCTCAAATTCCAAACTACAACCTTTGATTTCCTTCCCTAACAAGAATCTATCTACCTCTGGCTTATATCATTCAGTAACCCCATCTCCATCAGCTTCTGAGACAGAGAGTTCCAGGTTTACACAAATCTTAGAGAAATATTTCTGGAGACACCTACTGGGAGAAACATCCTTTCCATGTCCACCTTATGTTCTGTTTAGGATCTTCTGTATTATAAACAAGTCACCATCACACTTATCAACTCCAATTAAAACATACCCAGTTCGTCCAACTTTTCCTCATAAGAGAACAAGAGGATGCACCAGGGACCTATGCTTTCATTTTCATCCTTTTAATTTAAAGATGTCCAATGTCTAGGCGTACTACTTGTACCTTCAGAGGATAGGTCCCTCTGTTTGAATATATGTAGCAAGCACAAATGAGCCATGTTGCAAGCCTGACTGATCTTAAATTGGTTATGACTATAATTCTTGGCATACTCTGGATTGTTCAACAGGAGCTTTAGAATTGTATCTAAAGTTAGACGTTGTGTTCTGAGTTTTGCAAGCACAGGCTATCGGTTGCATACGGTCAAAGGGATATGCTGTTTGGTATGATGGGACATAGGCACCTGGCATTGGTATCGAAAGTTTCTCCTGACTTTTTTCCATCCAAGTTAGATTAAAATCAATGATTGGCAGGTATACCTGTAACAACAATGACTGCTTATGGGTGCAATTGAGGTGCATTTCCACTGGGGGAACAGATAGGCAAATAAAGCCAGAGATCCTGACAAAGGATTTACAGAGTAACTTGAAGCAGAAAAAGACTGCATACAACAGATGTTAAATGCTGGCAATATGTGAGAACCAGGAAATGTCAATGTGGAAAGTTCAGAGGGGAAGTGAAAAAGGAAATAAGAGACAATGAATCTATGCGAAGAGATTGGCAGTTAATAGAGAAGGGAGCCCAAAAGTCTTCAGTCGACTTGGAAATAGTAAAAAGAGGGACCACTTGGGCGAATTTACACTTGGAGGCAGTGGGGTGTGATTAATAATTTGCATCTGTTTTCGCTAGGGAAGTTGATATTGCTCAAGTCATGGTGGAAGTATATGTTTGAAACAATGGATGGGTTAAAATATCATACAGAATTTACCAAATATATTAGCTATATTTAAAAGTTAATCAGTCACCAGGACTGAATCAGATGCATCAGACAGTACTGAGGGGAGTAGGGAGTAGTTACCAAATTCTCTTCAGAAACAAGATGGTCCCAAAATACTGGAGAATTGCAAATATTATATCCTTATTCAAAAAAGCTGTAATGTAACAGCTGAGCTTAAAGGGCATTTATTTAATCTCTGGTGGGAGAACTTACAGAAATAATAATTTGGGGAAAAACAACTATCATTTAGGTAAGTGTGAATTAGTTATGAAAAATCAGGAAGGATTTGTTGAACCTAAATTGTGTTTAACCAACTTGGTTAAGTTTTTTGGATTGGGTAAATAGATTTAATGAGGGCAATGAAATTGATGCTGAGTATCTGAACTATCTCAATCAGGAATAGATCGAGGGGAAACTGTTCCCATTGTGTTGAGAACCAGAGGACATCAACATAATTAATAAAGGAACCAAGGTGACATGAAGAATTTTTTATGCAATGCATATTTATGATCTGGAATGTACAGTCCGTAATTGTGATGGAGATAGATTGAATTATGGTTTTCAAAAGGGAATTGATAAGTACACAAAGCATGCAAGTTTGCTGGTGTATGGGGTGAGGGTGGGGAATGGGATGCTGAGTTGTTCATGCAGAGAACCGGCATACACTTGTCAGGCCAAGTGGCCCTTTTCTGTGCTTCAGCTGTTCAGTGATTCTATGAAATATTTATCATTTGGAACATCTCTCCTAAATATCCACTTAATTTTCTTTGCTGTAAGAAAAGCAGATTCCTTAGGTTTTACAGATGTTTGAAAGTTCTGAGTCATTCTAATAAATCTTCTCTACACCCTCTCCAAGACCAGGGGGTCCTTCCCAAAATGTCGTGCCCAATAATAGACAGAATACTCCAGTCAAGGCCTAATCAGTGATGTTAATCAGCTCCTCGTTTGAAAATATCAGAAAGTATCCAAACTGAGTAGATAGTAAATCGAGGAAGCAGTCGTTGAAGTAATAGAATGATGAAAGACTGGAATTGTCCTGCTGCTGCAGATGGAGGAGGCAAAATAGATGGTAAAGCTGGATTTAAATGTTGAATAAGCTAGCATGAGTCAATAAAGCTGACTTTTCTTTCTTTTGCAGAAAGTTTCTCTTCATTTACATTAGTGCTTGTGCACATCATTTTTTCATTTTAACTCCCCTGCCCAAGAGCAATGCGTCAGTTATAGCTCAGTTAGGAACACTTCTTTTGAGTAGGGAATTCAAGTCCCATTCCACAAACTTCAGCATAAAAATCTAAACTCTCACTCTAATGTGATGCTAAGGGAGTGCTGCACTGTTAGGGTGCCATATTTTGAATGAAGTGTTAAACTGAAGCCTACTCTGCCCCAAGTGAACATAAAGATCTTAAGACACTATTTTCAAAAATATCCCTTGTCAACATCGCACAAAACAAATGATCTGGTCATTCTAGCATTGCTGTTTGTTGGATTTAATCTGTACAAATTGGCAACCATTTTTCCTACATTACACCAGTGTCTGCAGTTTGAAATTTTATGGCTATCATGAACAACTGTCCTCGAATTTGAGGATGAAATTGTTCAGGGTCATCTGTTTCTGCCAAAGGTCTTTACATGACTTAAAAGGCTGATTCTGTCTCAGTAGGCCTGAATTGTTGGCATGGGAACATGATAGTGTGTTGAAGCGGCAAGCAACTGAAAACTTGTGGTCAATTTTACGAAGAATATAGGCATTTGGACACCATCTGGTTCCCATTTTTATGTCAGGACTACTGCAGTGTTCCAATGAGGCTCAATGCAAGCTGTAGAAACACCTCTAATTCTGCCTAGGCATGTTACCACCTTCAGGACTTCATGTGGAGTTTCGTAATTTCAGAACATGGACAACATCTCACTTGTTCGTTCCCTTCCCCACACCCCTAAACCATGTCCTGTCTGGGTTGCTCCCAGCACAGCCAACCCAATTTCAAACATTTTCACTTCTTGTTAGCACCCCACCTAGCAATTATCTGTATTTTGGCTTAGTATCAGTAACCTCTTTGTTTGCCTATCCCTTTCTTCTCTTTCTCTCTGGGCTCTGTGTCCATGTACTCTTGTTTCCATGTCTTTTACCTCATGACCTCTATTCTTATGCCTTTGAATTAACAGTCTATTTTTCCTAAAATTGGATTATTCCTTTATTTCTGAATTTCCTATTAGGCCATTGGTAGTCTCTTCAATCCAACTTTGTCCCTACACAAAGCACCTTTCCTTTATGATTGTCATGTCTGCCTTAAAACATCTTCGAAAAGATCTTTTAAAAGATCTCCTGTCATTTAACCTTTTTCAGTTTCCTTAACTGGTCAATTCCACGTTTTTATCTTACTTTAAATTGCTATGTGACATTGTTCTCTACATCTGTGCTATAGAACTATATATTTTAATGCATTAGTTTAGTGGAAATACTATTTATATACAACTAACTTTCCATTTGAGGAACTTTTATGTAGCAGTATGAGTGTAAACTTTATAGCTATGTTTATGGGCATATATGAAATGAAGGTGTGTGTGTGTGTATAAAATTTTTTTTTATATATATATATCTGTATATGCCTTTTGTACCTCCACAAAATATGTATTCTGTGGAAGGAGTAGGCTTTTAGGCTGAATAGATTTCTCATTCCAAGTGTGCCTGATTTTATCTCTCAACATATGTTGCTCTGTATTCTTTGTATGATTTGAAAACGAGCCTTTTCAAAAAAAAAACTGATCTAATGTAATCCAACAGTTAACTTAATCAAATTTAACAGTTAATTTTAGCAGTTGGCAGCACTCTCATCCCTGAGTTATAATATTCTGGGTTTGAGTTCCACTCCAGCATTAAGCGCAAAAATCAAGGCTGACAGTCCAGTGTTATAGTGAAGTAGTACAGTTAGAGATGCTGTCTTTCAGATAAGATGCTTGGGTGGATTCTTCAGTCTCTCCTCTTTTTTTTCCCCCCCTCCATTATTTTCCAGCTTTCTGTTTAAGAAAAAAAATCATTTTATGTTTTTGCTGAAACCTGCCTCGGAAGTGTCTGTCTGAGCATTGGCTCTTAAGTTTTTTTTTCATAAAATCATTATGATGCAGAAGGAGGCCATTCAACCATCACCAGGAAGTTTAGAGGGGATTTGAGAATAAACATTTTCATCCAGCAGACAGTGGGGATTTGGAATGTACTGCCTGGGAGGGTAGTTGAGGCAGCAAACGTCACAACTTCTGAAAAGTACTCAGATGAGCACTTAAAGTGTTGATGAGCCAAATGGCCTCTTCTGTACTGTAGGATTCTGTGATTCATGTCTTCATTGGCTCTCTGAATAATTTATCATGACTTAGTGCCATTCTCTTGTTCCCCATAACCCTGAATATTGTTTCTGTTTAAGTAAACATCAAATGCTATCTTGAATTTCTGAATTGAACTTGCCTCCACTACACCTTTTAGTAAATTGAGGCTTGAAGTCTATAGGTGTGACTGGATCAGTGATTGATACATGTTTAAAGCACCAAGCCAGGATGTAGTGTTTACTTCAAGGCAAATCTTAACCTGTAGTAGCTGCCAAATTGTACCTGATTAATGTATTTGTGATCCTCCAAAACATGAAGGTAAAAATGGATTTTTAGAACTATTTAAATTGTTGTTCCTTTCATAATGTTTTGTGAATTTTCTACACAGTTGAACCATGGCAGACACCAGTTCATCACCATTGAAGCACTTTGTACAGGCTAAAAAGAAGATTAACACAATCTTCGATCAACTGTTGGAGTATGTTAATGAAGGAGCAAGCTTTATTAAAGGTTTGATATCAATTACCAGTGCTTTGGTAGATATTAAGTAATAGTTCTTCAATGCAGTACAGAAAATGACTAAAGTTGGGGCACATATCTTTGGCTGAATCACGTACAGTTAACTTGTCTGTATCAGAGTTGCCTGTTCTGCGGTGAATGTGTTTCACTTATCTAATCTGTATCTTCCAATGACTTTTGACTGCCTCCACAAGCCCCAGTTTGCAGCCATTATTCTCCATGTCAGTGTCTCAGTCTGAACCAATTTATTTGCTTGAGTTTTTGACCACACATTCTCTTCAGTCAGCATAGCTGCCTATTGCTACAATTTGTTCGCCTCTGCCCCAATCCACCTGCTTCTGAAACTCTCACCTGTGATTTTCTAACCTCCAGACTCCATGACGATGAACTCTTAGCCAGCCTACCACCTTCCATAAAATTAAGCACACCCAAAGGTGCACTGTCCGTATCCTAACATGCACAGTGTCTTATTTACCCATCACTTCTGTCGTCTCAGATATATATTAGTTTCTGGTCAATCTACACTAGAATTTAGAAATTTTCAATCTTGTGTTCAAATCCTGCATGGCCTCCCTGCTTACCTTTGTCGCACTTTCCAGCCCTACAGTTGTCAAAGAACTCCATTCTTCTAGCTGTGGTCTCTTGTGCATTACTGACTTCTTTTATTCCACCTTTGGTGATTTTGTTTTCTGCTAATTCTCTCCCTAAATCACCCCCTTCTCCTCTTGAAGTAATTTTTAAAAGCTATCTCTTTTGACAGATTCTTAGTCACCTGTCCTAATGTCCTCTTTGCCAATTTTTGTCTCAGCATTCTTGGGAAGTACCTTGAGGTGTTCTAGTACACTTAAAGATGATTTATAAATCCAATTTGTTTTAGAATCTCATCAAAATGAAGGATTGGAGAAGATAACAACGCAGCAGCAGTTGGCAGAAATAGAAATGTTTGCGACTAAAGTGGCTGGAATCAGTGACGTGCTGGCACGTAGACACATGAAAGTGGCCTTTTTTGGGAGGTGAGATGTAAAATATTAAATTATGGATACTAATAATAGATTCATTATTAAGTACAGAGTGGAGGGTCATATTTTATGATTGGATGTGTACCCTTGCTGAAGGAGCAGCAACCTATTGAATATGTTGTACCAAACTTCAAAAAAGTAGGAGCACAGAGTAGATAAATCAAGAAACAGCTGCTAACTTGCCTGTGTTGTTTTTGTTTAATCAAGCTTTTAAGTTTGTAAGGAAAAAGAAACTTGCAAAAAATAATTTTTATAGTTTTTGGCCGAGAGAGGAGGAATCTAAGTAAGAGAAACTGCTTTACATTTTTTTTCTTGTTATTGCTGTATTTTTGAAACCTCAAAAGAAGCAGAAGTTATGACAGATGACAAAAGATTTGAGGTTAAAGGTGAGTAAAAGTGCCTCCTGTCAAATCGCAGATGTCTGATACACCTTAGGTGGGAGTTGAAAGAATTTATCCAAATAGGATTAGGAACAACTCTAAAATATCTATTGGTCTTGGCAGATAAAGATAGCATTGAAGATGTGAAAGCAATAATGTTTACAGTAACAATTTTCCAAGTGAAGCCCCTAAAAAAAAAATAAATAAAAATGGGAAATGAAGAGCTGAAATTGTTGCTTTAATTATGATAAATTATAATTATACTTTTTGAGATTTTGGATCAAGTAGAGCTCTATGAAGGGTTTTTATTTTAAACAAATAATAAAGGTATTTGGAACAGTGAACTGACTGCATAATTTCCATGAAAGAATATGACTACAGTTAAGCGTTGAATAGGATAACTGTGCTTTTAATTAAAGAAATGTTTACAAAATTGAACTTTTATGACAAAGAAAACAGACTAGGTGCCACAAGTGTATGGCAGTTCAATTTGGAATCAGATTCCAGTTCAGGTGAACAATTTCACCCCCTCATAAGAGTTAAATGTGAAGTTTCTAAGCTATTAGAGTTTGTATAGAGGTTTTCAAGCTGTCAAAACTGAAAGGAAGTTTAGGTCATCAGAACTGGACCACCAAATCTGGAAAGTGTCATGTAAGTAAAAACGTAAGATTGGAGTGACCCTTCACTGGGCTTGAGTATCTCTAAAGGATGTTGATAGGAAACAGGTTGAAAAATTGTTATAATAGAACCTCTGGATACAGTAAATCTGAAACAAAAACCGAAATTGCTGGAGAAACTCAGCAGTTCTGGCAGCATCTGTGGAGAGAGGTTTGGAAAGTTAGGCAGACACTGATGAAACCTTTAATTATCTCAGGGCAGTGACTTGAGCAGATTCTGGAATTTGCATATTAATCAATCAAAACTTGTGTCTTCTTTCTAACAGAGTTCTCCATATCCGGCTTCTGCAATTTTTAGAATGCAGGAATGTATGAATGATTAAAGATTCAACAGGAGGCAGTCAGTCAGCCATTTTTGGTTTGTTCACTTTACTCACACCAGTTGTGTGATCCTTTGATCCCTTTGCCTATAAACTGTGTCTGTGTGCTGTCCTCTCACATCACTGATGGAGGAGCTGCGCTCCAAAAGCTTGCGAGTTCAAATAAACCTGTTGGACTGTAACCCAGTGTCATGTGATTTTTGACTAACAGCAGTCAGAATTATCGTGTAGAAGAGTCAGTAGACTCAAAATGTTACATTGACTTCTGTCAACGGATGCTGCCAGACCTGCTGAGATTCTCCAGCAGTTTCTCAAAAAATGTTACACTGTTTATTTTAAGGTCTTTCTAAACTGTCTTTTAATATATGTAGTTTTGTTTTTGTTTAATAAATGTGTTATTTTCATAAAGAACATTGACAGCCCAGTGTGAACATGTTATGATTAAATACCTGAAAAATGTAACTATCAAGCCAGGTTTCACTCTGAGATCTGACTTGTCCAGCATTACCATCAGCTTGGATCATAATGTGCGCTTGAGCCTTTATCAGGCAGGTGCTATACTGTGTCAGAGCTTGTAGCCCTAACTCTATTTTCTCATCATTTGACCCTGCTTCCTAAAACTAGTTCTGAATTCCCCAGTCCCCATTTCCTTTTCTTTTCTTTAACATCATTACAATACTGTTATCATTAGACAAATAAGTTGTTGACCTTTTAAGAGTTTTTTTATTCAAACAGTTAGAAGTTTTATGGTTAGTAATTTCAAACAAAAGCCACTTTTTGCAATTTTTTATGCTTTGAATTTGTAACAGAACAAGTAATGGGAAGAGTACAGTGATCAACGCTATGCTATGGGACAAGGTACTGCCCAGTGGCATTGGACACACAACCAACTGCTTCCTTAGTGTTGAAGGAACAGATGGGGAGAAAGCCTATTTGATGACGGAGGACTCTGAGGAAAAGAAGAACGTTAAAGTAAAGTCCTGTTTTTATATAAATATGTGGCATTAGCAATAGGGGATGTTAAGGTTGTTTACACCCAAGTCATTTATTGTGGAAGAAATGAATTTTCAAATAATACACTTTGTTTAGATATGTCTTATGAATATACTATTGATTATAGTTGTCTCCTCTTATATCCTGACTTTGCCATTCAACACCTCTGCCTAATTTGCACATGGACAGTGGTCATCTGGGTGAAGTACTGGGGGATGCTAGTAAGTCTGCATTTTGTACACCAGCACATATTGCAGTATTTACAGAGGAATATAAAAACATGGTTCTTTATATTGCGCTGTGGGAAGGAGAAAAGGCTGTTACTTCAGATGAACTAGCTACATTTGGATACATGAGATTAGAATTCTACAAGGGTAGTCTCGAAGCTGTATGAAGGGAAAGGAGTGTACCAGGGTGATGGTACAGTGCTTAATACTATGTTGAAGGTGAAGATGGATAGTGCATTCCTGCTAATAATAATTGAAGATGCTGGTGTTTTTGGTTCAGCTAATTCATTTTGAGGAAAGCTAGACTGGAGTGTTTCATGAGAGATGAAAATGATGCAAGTAGGTGACAAATGTTTTGGAATCTCTGAGAAAGAAAGGAGATTGAAGATAAGGCTATAGACTGAAACATAATGGCCAAAAATTTTGTTTTTAGGAAGGCAGTGGTTTGAAAGAGGAGAGTACAGTTCCTGAGAAGTGCAATAATTGACAATCTCATTAAGTGGATTTGAAAATGAAATTGAGGAAGCAGTTTTTTTGATTCATTTGAAAAGTAAATAAAGTGTACTAGGAGGTAGTTGAAGTAACTATGGCAGTGCTTGTTGATGCTGAAGTAGGCAAGGAAACTGAGGGTACAATCGAGATAGCTCTACATCCCTCTTTCTGGGTGACATGGAATTTAATGTCTTACTGCATTGAGTTTAAGATTGATGGGATGCAAAATGGGTTTAAGGTGGCCTATGAAAAAGAGGATCCTGTGGCTGTCTTGGCATTTAATGATTATCTTCAAATATTAAACGGTTTTGGCAAAGGAAAGCGAAAAATTGCGTTCTTTGATTTAGTGAAGCTAGACTTAGCAGTAAATGACTGGACCATTTTAGAAAATCAGGGAACAAGGAGATAATTAAGCCTAAATCCCCTTTCCCCAAATTTTGAAATGTTATGCTTTATTCAGTGTAGATCAGACCTGATGCATGCTAATGTTTGAGACAGTAGTATTATAACACTGATATTTTGGAATGGTATTATCATTCCCCTCTAATTCGACGCTCAATCTCCACAGAAAAGTTGCCTGGCCTTCCCTAAGTACTGTGCTATCAGTCAGTCCAATATGTAAAATTTCTACAAATCTTTGTTATGAAAATCTCCTCTTCTACTTCATTTACAAGCAAAGTCTGTGGAGACTGATTTGACCCAATCATTGCCTCACAATCATTCCAACAGCCCAGTTACAAAAGAAGTCATTGAGACAGGCCAAGACCCCAGGACCCTTGAAAGCTTCTCAATATTCCAGAGATGGTCTGGCCAAATAGTGCGTTGATTTTCAGTAATTTTGTTTCGCTTAATTTTTTGTTCCTCTGAGACGTATTTTGACATAGCTCCCAGACGAGCTATCTGATTTCATGCCTAGCTAGATTTCTGTTGAATTCTATGTTTTAACTACTTGCCCCTTTTACACCTTTCAAATTAATAAAATATTTGGTCAATGAGGGTCCAAACAACAACTCCCCACCAAGTCACCTCTCAACTATTTTTACTCTGTGCATTAAGTAACGGCATTAAAAATGTAACATTGAAGTTGAAGTAGTTTACAGACTGCTTTAGTAATTGAGTTAGTTCCTGTTAGTTAGTAGGAAACTTCAACGGGCAGAAACTTGCTGCAGTGGCAAGTGTGCTAGTGGTGTGATGGGAAGTGAATGGCACTTCCATTTGGAGGCAGTATAATGGCTAAATGCAGTTATGCAATAGCCAGCCAATTAGCAATGCGCAGTAAAGAGGCCTAACCATTTGTGGAGGCAGACAGGAAGTACCCATGATGGCTAAAGGTCTCGGCAACATATTCAAATGGAATCCTGACAAACCAGCAGTATCACTCTTCCTGGCTGAAAGGTGGATTTTGAACTTGAACTGCTGCTATCCTCTCCATTCTGTCATAATTTGATTTCTAGAGGTCCAAGCCATCTCATTGCCCCACCTTCAGTTGCCTTTCACAATCCTCCATTACCCTCAGTCCTCCTTCTACCCTTGCCTTCTGTGACCATTCATCCATCCACCCGCAGCCTTGATCAATTGTCTGTCAACCTTGTGTTGCCCCACCCAGAACTCTGGACCTCCCTCTTCAGCACCCTTGGCCCTCGCCTGGTTACTCTTTGTATCTACTGTCCTCATTATTAATCTGATCTTGGCAAGATCGACCCCACCTTCTATCATCCAGCTCCTTCTCTACATCTCTCACAACCTTCTTAGGGTCATCATGAACAGCCAACCTCCCTTGATACACATGTTTGACCTTCCTGGACAGCTGCCAGCCTCCCTTCCATGCATAGCCATGCCGTGACCTTCTTGATTAGCCAACACCTAAGTTCAGTGCAACAATTCAGCCTTCTCCTTCTCCACATTCCAACACAGTTCCCCATGCAGGAGAGACAGATCCTATTCGTTACAAATCCACCAGCAGGAAGACTACCTTTTCTGCTGCACCCTAACTTTAATCTGTCATGGATCTGAAGGTACATGTTTCTCATTTGCAGTTTTAATTGCAGAGGTATGCTTTAAACTGGTGACTATTTGGTTTATTGTACATACATGACATGCTAATACATTAAAAACAGGTTCATGTTGGTGCTGTGAGCACCTGCAACCCGCCTTAATCTGCTCAACCTATTTCCCAACTTTCAGCCTGTTATTGAAAAGCTGGCACCTCTTGTGCAATTGAATGTCCCTGCCCACCTCATTTCCTGCACCAGGGACTTCACTAGATTTTGCTGATGTAGGCGTTTACCAGGATTTTTATAGCCCTTCACGCACAGTTATATTAATGTTTTGTGCACCTCTGACTTAAATGAGGCAAAACTGTAGATTGTACCAATGGTAGAGATAAGAGACTACTTACTCTACTGGTATCAAGGGCATTGAAACAAAGGCAAAAGGACAAGTAAATGTTGTGACAATGTCATACCAGGCAGAATAATATTAGTAGCTTGAAAATGACTTGATAAGGGACTCTGAGGAGAAATGTCCCATGAGTATACAGCGAGAACAATCATTGGAGGAGGGTATGGGATATTGGTGTTCAGAGAGATGAGACATTAGTCAGAGAAAGACTTGTGGGAGATTGCAATTATGGGTACAGAGAAGATATGATGATGAAGTGGCCTCACATATAATTAAGGGGTTTGTATGAGAAGAATGATTGAGTGGGAACAAGGGGACATAAATGTGAAAAACAGTTGTTGTGATGGTTGAAATCTAGAAGGATCAAAAGTCATTTAATGTGCAGGCTAGGGGAGAACACCTTGAGTGGAAATTGGTGTACAGCTTTGAGTGACCTTAAATTCTAGGCAGAAGCCAGTTAGATATGTAAGTGCATGTTTGTATACTATCTAAATTTTCAAACTCCTTCAGAATCCTTGAAAAATCAGTGGGTAGTGAATATGTTCACTAGTATTAATTACAGGGGAGAATATCTAGGTATTTGAACCCTCTTGAAGAGAGAGTTTATATTGTCATGGAAATAGTAATACAATGAAGTCTAGAGGTTCAAGTATTTATCCTCTTAATTTTTATCTGTTCTTTTTTCTATTAGTACGTTATTTTGCTTCCAGCCCACGGTATTTGTTTATAACGCAACAGTACAGTGTGTAAAAGTTTTTCCTTCTGTATTTTTAGACTGTTAACCAACTCGCACATGCTCTGCATCAGAATGAATACTTAGATGCTGGTTGTCTAGTCCGTGTTTTTTGGCCAAAATCGAAATGTGCTCTTCTTCGAGATGACTTGGTATTGATGGACAGGTCTGAAATATCTCAGAATAATTTGAAATTGATGCATTTATTAATTACTCAATGGTGATATTGAATAGTGCGATTTTGTTTTTGTTGCAACTGGGTGGAAGGAAAAACACATTATTTGAAAAGTTGTTCTGACATATGCTTGATTTTGACAATTGCACATATTTGTAAAAATTAAGTGTTTGTTGGCATTTTAAAACATTCATATGTTAATATATTTTGTGTCAAGTCTAACTGATGTTTCTTATTTTAGCCCTGGTACTGACGTCACCACAGAGCTGGATAGCTGGATAGACAAGTTTTGTCTGGATGCTGATGTCTTTGTATTAGTAGCAAATTCAGAATCAACACTTATGCAGACTGTAAGTGTTTATGTTTTTGTGCTTGTCCCATTTATAGATTTTTTTTTTTTTTTTTTTTTAGAATTTATTTTTTTCTATCTATTTCCACTAATGTTTCCTTGCTAATTGCCATTAACAAAGAACTTTCATGTAAATTTCTGAATAAAAGTAAATTAGCAGATGTGAAAATTGTAACATAATGGCTGTGTACTAATTTTGAAAATAACACTCAAAGTTAAGTCAAATGCTACAACAAACCCAAAATTTGTGTACTGAACTGTTTTGGTAGCCATTTAGCAATTTCATATTGTCTCCAGCTGATTTTTAAAAATTCAAAATGGGTTTTAGGCATCACTGGTATTGCTGACATGTATTGCGCATCATTCATTAGTTTTAAGGTGATGGTGAACCATCTTTGCTGTACAATCATTATAGTGATAGTACATAATCATTATATAGTATAGGTACATGATGTTTTCATTGAGGTTGATATAACTAAGCCAGCTATTGACCAGGTGTCACATTTAGGCAAGGTCAGGATGGATGACGGATTTTCTCTCCTGAACGACATTTATAAAACCCCATGACATCAATTACGATTTGATAGTTCCATGATGGCTGTTAATGAGACTAGCATATTATTCCAGTTTATTATTAATTAATTGAATTCAAAATCACTAGCTTCCACAAGTGGGATTTGAACTCCCGCCATTGGAGCATTAGACCATGTTGCTTAGTTACTAGTTCTGTTAGACTATCAGCATGGAACCAATCCACTAGTTTAAAATAAAGTCTGTATTCAAATATTCATGGGTTTAAAGAATGTCAGTTTATTCATTATAGCACACAGCTTAACACTGAATCTGTTATTTGAGCTTATTTTCAAACATGGATTCTGAAATTTTAATGGAAACTTTGGATTCTGAATATTTATTTTATTTCATTTCACTCCTAGGAGAAACAATTTTTTCATAAGGTTAACGAGCGACTTTCCAAGCCTAATATTTTTATCTTGAATAATCGTTGGGATGCTTCTGCTTCTGAGCCAGAATACATGGATGAAGTAAGTTATACACTGTAATTATAGCTTCTTTTCAAACTTTTGAGTCTAAAAGCTACATACCATTGGCTAAATTAGTTGTGTTTTATTGAATGTTACATATAGTTGCTTGGATGTCAATTACATCATACGTTTGGATATTTACTTGTTATGATATTTCTGTTGATTTTGCCTCAGTATTAATCCATATCACCTTTACTATTCAGGTACGTCAGCAACACACTGACCGCTGTGTTAGTTTTCTTGTTGATGAGCTTGGAGTAGTGGATTATGCACAAGCTGAGAATCGCATATTTTTTGTTTCTGCTAAGGAAGCTGTTAATGCCAGAATTCACAAAGCGCAAGGAATGCCAGAAGGTGGTAAGTGTTGCAGTGTTCTTAAATATTAGAGAGGTCTTGAATGTAAGTAGCAGGCAAGGCTAAGGGATGACTTCGTGGTATAAAATTGAGTGGCCTAGATAAGATAGTCAGGAAATACCTGTTTTCCTAGCAGAGGTGAAAATGATAAAGGGCTAGAGATTTATGGTAATTGGAAGTGAGATTAGTGGAGACATGATAAAATTAAAACCTATTCACCTAGAGGATGGTGAATGTCTGGAATTTGATACCTGGTTTGGTAGTGGAGGCAGAAACCCTCAATTTAAAAAAAAAATGTGTATCTGCATCTGAAGTCCTGTAATCTATAGACCAGCTGCTAGAAGCTGCGATTAGAATGAGTGGTTCGTTTTTATTCAGCCTGAGGCACACATGATGGGCTGAATGAGCTTTTTCAGTGCTGTCACTTTTCAGTCGCCCTAAATAAAACTTGGATATGCTTCAGCTTTTCTTTGTCTTAAAGGGAAGATTCTGAAGTGTAATTTTTCTAAACAAAAACATAGTTTTGAAGAAGGGTCACTGGACTGGAAACATCAACTTTGCTTTCTTTCCACAGATGCTGCCAGACCTGCTTAGTTTTTCCAGCAATTTCTGTTTTTCTTTGTATTTTCTAACTTTTTAGATGAGGATTATCAAGCTAGGGCCCCAAGACTATAGCTATTAGCCAATGACATCCTAGAGTATAATCTAACTGGAATTAATGTCTTCATAGAATCATACAGTATAGAAGATGCCCTTCAGCCCATTGAGTCTATACCACCAAAATTATTCTGTTACCTATAATAGTTCCACTTTCCTGCACTAGGCCCATAGCTTATGACACTTCAAGTGCTTATCCAAGTACTTTTTAAAGGTTGTAGGGTTTCCTGCTTCAACTACCCTCCAGGTAAGGCATTCCAGATCCCCAGCATCCTCTTTCTTCCTACTATCTCTGAGTGAAAATGTTTTTCCTCAAATCCCCTCTGAATCTCCTGCCATTCACTTAAAAATTATGCCCCCTTATTATCGACCCTTCGACTAAGGGATACAGCTGCTTTCTATTCACCCTGTCCATGCCCTTCTTAATCTTATACATCTCTGTCAGGTCCACCTTCAATCTTTTCTGTTCCAAAGAAAATAACTTGAGCTTATCTAGCCTCTCTTTTTATAGCTGAAATACTCCATCACAAGCAACATCCTGGTGAATGTCTTTTGCACCCCCTCCAGTGCAATCGCATCCTTCCCATAATGTTGTGACCAGAGCTATGCACAGTACTCCAGCTGTGAACCAACCAAAGCACAAATCAACATGACTTCCCTACTCTTATAATCTACGCCCCGTAGGCTGCCTTAACTAACCTATTAACCCGAACTGCTGCCTTTAAGAATCTTTGGACAGCAACCCAAGATCCCTCTGTTTCTCTGAGTTTTCAAGTGTCTTGCCATTTCGAGAGTACTGTTTGTCTTGTTCATTCTTCCAAAATGCATCATCTCACATTTATCACGGTTAAATTCCTTCTGACTAATCCATTTATGTCATCCTGTAACCTATCATCTTCCACCTCACTGTCAACCACCCGGCCAATTTTTGTGTCCTCTGCAAACTTACTTATCATCTTGCCCACATTCTCATCTACATCATTTGTGATAATCACAAACAATAAGTGGCGCAGCACTAATCCTGTGATTTGCCGTTGTACACCAGGCTCCAGTCACACAAACAGCCTTCTTCCACTGCCCTCTGTCTCCTGTAACTAAGCCAATTCTGGATCCCATAAGCTTGTCAGATTTCTGTAGCTTTCCTTATTTGTTGGCTTTCCACCCTAGTTCTATGCAATTAGAAATGTTTTCTGCAATTATGGTGCATTCTTCCTGTTGTGTGACTGGCACTGCACTGTGATAATTAGGATAGATGTGTACAAAAAAATGCCAGTTTTTGCAGAGGGTCACTTTATACACCAAGGGGTAGCCTTTATGAAAACATTATTAAAACTCAGTATTTAGCATTAACAAGTCTACCAACATCCATTTATATAGATATCTGTAAATCACAATGTGTGTCTTTCTTTGTGATTCTGAAGTGACTTGAGATATTTTTCCATATAAATGGAAGGTGTTACAATTTTGTTTATTTGGTGTAATAGCAGTATTTTGAAATTACATTCATTGATAGAATATTGTATCTCAGTGTCTTCTCAGAAAATGTCCCTGCTTACCAAATCAGTGCCATTAATGTTTATAGAGAATTCCTATTTGAAAATTACCACAGTGGCTACTTGGATGCTTATATGTTGTAATACTTTAATCCTTTCCTACATGTTTACAATGAAACATTTAAAAGCTACTTCATGTTGATTTTGTATTTTGTTTTACAGGTGGTGCACTAGCAGATGGATTCCAGGCTAGGCTTTTTGAATTTCAGAATTTTGAGCGTCAGTTTGAGGTACATTATGGATAGCCACTATTTGTTATTGCCCCATGAAGTTAATTTTTTTTTGTTCCTAAGTTGAAATAGAGAAATTTGGAGCCCAAAAAAAAGCTCCATAAGTTAGTATTGAATTCTTATTTGAATGTGCAGTTGCAGAAGATTGTGTTTATATTGTAACAACTTACACTTGAAGAGAATGAACGAGTTCTAAGTGGTAATCTAATCTGCATTTTGGTATTTCTAGTATGCAGGAGACTGCATTATTAGCTGCGAGTACAGTATACTACATTGAAAGAAGCAAATCATTGTTTCATCTTGGATGGGGAGATGTTCATGCATAGGAAAGCACTGGAGGAAAGAGTATAGCGTTGCGAATTATTGCGGAGTAGAATAAGGTGTTGTGAAGGGAACAATCCCTTAAGAAAATGGATGGAACGTTGCCTTCAGAATACAGAAAATGGAGGGAAGCAAGTGATGTATTTCACATATTATGCTGAAGGTAGGGGAAATGGAGGAGCATCATCAGTTGAATATGAATGCAAGTGGGGTGGAAGTTGAGGACAAAAGTGTCTGTGAGGGAGGAGAAGGTGTGGTGATCGGTGTGTGAAATAGGACCCTCAACTGCGTTCTATTCTGTTAGCTATGGTGGGGGCAGAGGCTTTGTTAAGAATAATGTAGCTGAAGCTCTAGTATAGATGTCAGAACAAAAACAACAGAGATTAAGAGCTTAGGTGAATGGAATATGATCCCGACAGGTATTTGTAGATGGCGTTTGTTTAGAATTTGGCAAAATAGTCGTGGGTATACAGGGAGTACAGTAGGGAGCTCAGCCCTGGGGGGGCTGCAGTGTTGAGTGTTGTTGTGGAGGAGATGCAGTTACCTATCTTCACTGATTTGTGGTCCGAGGATCCAGTTGCAGAGGGTGGAGCGGAAACCAAGGTCTCAGAGTTTTGAGATCAGTATTGGGGGAGAGAATGGTGTTGAAAGTGGAGCTGTAGTCAGCGAGCAGGAGTCCGACATAGATGTTCTTGTTGTCCAGATGCTCTAGGGAGTATAGGGATGTGGTGTCTGCTGTGGACCTGTTACGTCGGTAGGCAAATTATAAGGGATTGAGGCAGGCTGGTAGATTGGAGTTGATGTGGGCCATGACCAGCCTCTCAAAGCACTTCATGATTATTGAGGTCAGAGCCACTGGGCAGTAGTCATTAAGGCACATTGCATGTGCTTTCTTAGGTACGGGGATATTGGTGGTCTTCTTGAAGCAGGTGGGGACTTTGGCTTGTAGTATGGAGAGGTTGAAGATATCAGTGAATATCTCTGCCAGTTCGTCCAGACAGGATCTGAGTGCTCGACCAGCGACACCGTCCAGGCCTGTTGCTTTCCTGGGCTGACTCCTGGGAAAACTGGCCTGATGTCTGCGGCTGTGACAGAGGGCACAGGTGCATCCAGAGCTGTCAGGCAGGTGTCACCATGCCGCTGGCATTCTGGTCGAAACAAGCATAGAAAGCATTGAGTGCATCAGGGAGGGGTGTGTCTTTGATCCGCTATCTTGCTCTGCTTCGTTTTGTATCCTGTAATGTTGTTTAGGCCTCGCCATAAGCGACGGGAGTCTGTTTGGTAAGTCTGGGCCTCTAACTTGATCTAGTACTGCCTCTTTTGATCCCTGATGGCTTTGCGGATCTCATATCTGGATTTCCTGTTTGGGTCTGGGTCATCTGACTTGTATGCTGCAAATCTGGTCTTCAGTAGGGAGTGGATTTCCTGGTTGATTAAAGGTACACAGTTGGGAACACCCGGACTGACTTCTTTTGTATGCAGTTCTCCGTTTACTAAGGAAGTCCATGAAAGCAAAGCCAGCCAGGAAGAGTAGGGTAGTGATGCGAAAAGATTGGTTTGATCTCCTTGAAGAAAAGTGGACTGCCCTAAAACAATTTTGGGGGGAGGATGGAAGTGCGGATAAATTGGACGTCCCAGGCGTAGAGATAATTCTTACTGAATCCCTACAGTATGGAAGTTTGGTCCATCGAGTCCACGCTGACCCTCCCTATCCCTGTAACCCAGCATTTCCCATGGCTAATCCACCTAACCTACACATCCCTGGTCACTATGGGCAATTTAGCATGACCAATCCACCTAACCTGCACATCATTGGACTATGGGAGGAAACCAGAGCACCTGGAGGAAATCCATGCAGACATGGGGAGAACATGGAAGCTTCACGCAGACATGCACCCCCCCCAAATTTAATGGTGTGGTGGTAAGAGTCAGGAAACTGAAACTTGCAGAGAAAATCAGAAAAATAACAGATGTATGTGAGAAGAGACTAAACAAGGGAAAAGAATACTTGAGGTAGTGAGAAAGCAGCTCAGTGATGCAGCAACAGATTGAAAGAATGGGTCTATCAGGGCAATCACGTTTATGGATCTCGGAACGGAGGTAGGAGTGGGTTATTCAGGGTTGAGGAACCATGGAGCTGGTGATCATTAAGGGAAGATGTACTCGGTGATAGTCTTGGAAACAGTGGCTTGACGTTCATTGTTAGAGTCATGGTCCAGATAGAGATTGATGGATATTGTCAGAGAGTTGATGTTTTGCCTCTGCTACCAGGTTGAGGTTGAATTTCTGAGATCAGTATAAGCTCGGAGGGGAACAGGTTAGAACATGTAGGGCAGCAGAGAAGTTGAGATGGCCAATCTTATGTCAACAGTTATCATTGAAAAGATCTAAAGTGATGAAGGAATCCATAGTACGGAGAATTCTGCAGATGGATAAAAGGGTTCCTTGTGCAGGAGTGCAACCTTAACCATAGAATTTCTAGCTGAAGAAATGGGTGGGGTGGTGAAGGCAACAGAAGACGTTGGTGAAATCTTAGCTAAGGATAAATTGTACAGCTCCAGAGAGGGAAGGTCAAAGGGTATCGTGAATGCGGAGCAGGAATGAGATTAGGAAAAGGGATGTGGTAAAAAGAAAGTGAAGGGGAAGAAGAATCCAACAAAGCATTGGTACCCATGAGTCTTTGAAGCTTGCAATCCTTCACACTTAAAAGGGGGGGGAAAGAAATAACATATTGGATATTTTGTTAGACCTTTTCTTCATTGTCCTGCCCACTCTGTTATTTGTATACAGTTGCAATTCTTTTACAATTCTCATAACTTTCCACACCTATTGGCTTTGTAACATCTGGAAACTTGGAATTATTATAAAGAAATTGTGAATAGATTATACCTAACAGTGGTTCCTGGAGGACAGTATATTTTATACATTTCCAAGTGATCGTTTATTGCATCCCTGATAATGTATTTTAATGATTGTCCCAGTACTGAGAAACTCACTGATCTCATGGTTACTTGGTTTGTTTCTTCCATTTTTAAAACTGATAACAGTGATGTTACTAAAAGGAGACAATGCCCTAGTGGTATTATCGCTGGACTGGTAATCCAGAAACCCAGATAACGTTCAGGGGACCCAGGTTCGAATTCTGCCATGGCAGATGGTAGAATTTGAATTCAATAAATATCTGGAATTAAGAATCTAATGATGACTGTGAATCCATTGTCAATTGTCGGAAAAACCCATCTGGTTCACTAATGTCCTTTAGGGAAGGAAACAGCCATCCTTACCTGGTCTGGACTACATGTGACTCCAGATCCACAGCAATGTGGTTGACTCTGAACTGCCCTCTGGGCAATTAGGGATGGACAATAAATGCCACCTAGCCAGTGATGCTCTCATCCTGTTAATAAACAAAAAAAAGTTAGAATTGTCCCTTTCCTTGTTGGAGATGGATATTACCTAAGATAATGGAAGATATTTGTTATCTGCTACCTATCAGTATGAGCATAGATGTTTTCAGATCTTGGAAAGAATTGCTTCATTGTTGGTGGAGCAATGTAAAGGAGTTGAATGTAGTAGAGTGAGAAAACAACACTTCTTTGCACACACAGTAGTCAAAATACAGAACTTTGTTTGCCAAAAGGCTGTGGTTACTGGGTTAACTGCTGATTTCAATTTTGATAGTTTCAGATTTATGTTGCTTAATGATATGAGAATATAAAGGGTATGGATACAGTGGTTAAATGGGTTTGTGATACAGTTCAGCCATAATCTACTTCGCAATCTTCCTGCCAGAACAAGCACACAGGACTTAATAGTCTATTTCTGTTCTTTTATTGCCGTTGACCTCCTACAATGATAGTTATCACAACCTTTATGTCTGGCCCCAAACTACTTCACCTCCCTCTAGTCCTATTTTGACTCTACCTTTACTAGTCGTATTCTACCCCTCTTCATACTTGCCATTGCCCCTCTTCTCTCTCATGTTCCATTCCCCTTAATGTTCCTTTTTCTTTCCCCTCCTTTTCTATGCTCCATTCTATTTCTCTTCTCCATTCACTCTCTTCCCACTCTCCCTTTCTCATGTCTTGTTCTCTCTTTTCTTACACAGGTCCCATTTTCTCCTTGTATGGCCCATGCTAACGCTCCTAACACATCATGTACCTGTTATGTTAGCTTCACTTTGATGTAAAAGCATGCACCTTCAAGGGAGCAGATGAAACGTGAAAGGAGCAGAGAGGATTCATACATCTTCTAGTCTTATACCATAAAATGTCTGAAAAACAGATTCATCTTTCCAAAAAGTGAAAAAAGGACTCATGTAATCACTAGGCAAAGTGTTGATATCTCTACCCTACACTATTTTCTCCACATAATGTGGTGTAACTTGAAATGGTAACCTCTACCCTATGTGTCAGTAAATTAACCTGAATTATACACTTAGATTGTTAGAAAGATTTCAATGTGGAACACTTCTTTGACTTGAGAGTTCAGGGTAATAACTGTTTTCAGATTTTAGTACAAAATAAAGTACAGCAGATGTTAGACACTGGAAATACTCAGGTCAGGTCGTAAGTGTGCAAAAAGAAACAGTGAACATTTCAGGTCAGTTTTGATTTCAGGCCACAGTTGAAACGTGTACTTCTGTTTTCCTCTGTACACCTATGTAATGTTAGCATTCA